TGGAATTACCAAGTTCCTGTTTCTTTTGACTCTCTCTTCCTCAAAAAATACTTTTCAATCCGCAATTCATGTAGCATTAGCACAGACATATAAAATTCATGCATTTTGGAATTGGAAGGGCAGTGGCTTAATCTTAAAGGCCAAACACAAACCAACAAGGTGCCATGGCATGCACAAAATGGGCCAGCAGCTGCTCATTTCCCCATGACAGGGAAGCAGCACCTACCTGCTGCGGGGCTGGGCCAGTTTCACAAGCCTTGGTGTAGCCACGGCATGCTTAGCAGCCGTCGTCACTGGCCACTGAGGATCCCGTGGGGGCACATAGCCCAAATGTAGTTTTCTTGGCCTAGCCAGTTCTATGGTCCGAGGGCTTGCAATTGCTTCCTGTGCTGACTTGGAAACCTGTGGAAGAATGGAGAGGAAGATCCTTAGAGGTGCTCCTGGTGTTCAAGGGTGGCCAGTCTGCAACTGACTCAGTGTACCCAGGTTCACAGCCACTGACCAACCACAGATGGGACACGATCCTGTCCTCAGGATCCTGTTTGGCACCAGACAAACTGTAGAAGGAGAAATCACTGCCTGGCTAGTCCAGCAACCTGCCCTCCAGCTTCCTCTTACTCATAGCCCTTTGCCCAACCCAGCTCCCAGCTCTAGAAATCCTGGTTGGACACCTGTCCACCTCTCCCCATCTCCACAACTGCAGGCCAGCCACAGATCTGCTGTTCTCTGGGGATGTCTGCTGGGAGTCAGTTTGTGATCTGAGTGGAGGATGAGTCCTGCTTTCCAGCTCAGGAAGTAGCTACATCAGCCTCACAGCAAGCAACACATCCAGGGCTGCCATGAATAGAGTCCAGAGCAACTGAGCATCCATGTCCTCCCCTCTGCCCAGTGTCCCTGCCATTCCCAGCATCCCTGCCCACCCTTGCAGTTGATGCTGCCTTACCGGACAAATGACAGAGTCAGGAAAGCTGCGGTTGCAGCAGCAGGGAAGACGCCTGGCACAGGGCTCGGCGAGACGCTCTAACCGCATGGATATTCTGGCCAAGGTCGCAAGATGTGAAACCGGTATTGGCAACTGCATGGGTTCAGAATAGGGGAGGAATGTGCAGACACAGAGCTTGTTCACAGCAGCCCACAGGGACATGCTCCCTCTACACAAGGATGAGCATCCCAGCAACCTTCCTCTGCAGACATGGTCACAAGGAGCACTCTTACTTTCCCAGCACCCATTATTTTTCTTTCACCTGAACTATAAGGTAATTTTGGTGCTATAGGGTTTGTACATCATAGCCACTACCACTTCTTTCCCCAACTGTTGCCCACTCATAGCCAGGAGAGGAATGCCTGTAATGAGAGCCTGTGTAGCCAGGTACAAGTGCAGAGATATTTCTTCTATGTTTTTTGTATTTATCTTCTTGGCTGAATCAAATAATTTCCCTGCTAAGGAGAGACACTCAGATTTTAGGGCAAAAGTGCTGGAAGAGTTCACTACATTCCTACAGAAAAA